AAAAAAAAAAACACAGACACGTTTATTATTACAGCCTAAGGGATTTTATTTGAATTAGATGTTCTATAAGATTAGACAATGGTTAACCAATACGTTTATTGTTGCAATTCTTCGATCATCGAGTATTTACAAAGATGCATTTCAATTGAATCACTCAAGTGATTAGAAAAAGAATAATAAATTGTTAAAAACCGGAGAAAAAGAAACATCCAAATCCGTTTTCCATTCACGTAACACAAATAATGATTTATTTATAGACGAAAAAAGAAACAAAAAACTAGAAGTTTAACATTTTTGAACGTAAACTGATCTTAATAACTTTCCTTTTTTACTATTTTAACTAAAATTGATTCACGTTCGTTACACGTACATTTTAACATCTCTTCAGTTTCGACTGGTTTTAAAGGCAAAGTGTGAATAAGACTAAATACCAACGACCGCAAATAATGATAAGAAGTATGCTATGCTAGATCTCGTCAAAACGAAATTCCTGTTTATCTTAACAGATGATTCTAACCCAAACATACCGTATCATTCATTTCCTTTGTGTCAACTACAAACTGTTAATTATTAATTGATTACAATATTTGGAACGAAAAAGAAAACTAAATAAATTGAAGTAATATTTGGCAAAACCGTTCGTTTTCATTGAATTTGTTTATTTATTCGTATTTCTCGAATAAGTTTGAGAGTGTTGCGCTGATTTTTGGCAATTTAGTGCTTGCCTTCGAAGGTAATTTCAAAAATAAATAAAATTTCCAATGTGTACAATGGGAAATTACTGTTATTAGTTTCGTTTAACAAACATTTATTTTCACATATGCTTTTCAACAAAATTTCTTACTCTAAGTTATTCGATTGAAATCAATAGATGTGGTGAAACAGTACTTAAGTTAAAAAATTAATGAGTTGACCTTTTCCATTATGAAAAATAAACGAAACGATGCTAGATAGCTTTTGATTGTTTTGCTGGTTTTTCAGAAATTTGAGCAAGAAAATTACGGATGAAAATTCAGAAAGAATTTACAATTTTTTTTTCCTTCTGAATTGCTGAGACCGAAAATTAATCGACGATTTAATCTGTTGAAAATTATCTTTGATGTGTGTGCATCAAATGATTCTGATCAAAGCGTGTTACTATGACTCAGTTCAGTTTCATAAAATTGATTCATATAAAGTAATGGAGTAACCGCAAGAAATGCTGCGAGTCATTTCCTGACAATTATTTGGGGCTGAGCTCACAAAACTCACAAAAATGATAGATGGTAATAAACTATTTAGATTGAGTTGAGAGACATTTTCTTTTAAATCTCTTTCGTATTGGTTTTGCTGCGATAGCTATCCATTATTTCGGAAATAAAATGTTGGCATGTAAATCAAAGTGTTGAAATTTATTCCCAAGGAACAAACTCGGTCCCAGTTGGAGGCTTCATTTCAACTTTTTGTGTGCTAACCTCGTTCCAGTTTGTGCTCAATACGGTTCCACCTGTGTAGAGATAAAAAAAAATAGCATTACAATTGATGAAGGACAACGTAACACGCAGCATTGAACGACTTTCAATTTTCTCTTTGCTAAAATGCTTTGAAAATGTTCTGATGCAAAAATCACTCGTTGCTTTGACCGTTGGCACCGAATTGATAATGTTATCAAACTGTCAAAGAACATTGTGAATTTGAGCAACCCACATATTTTAGAAGTCCATAGATTTGTTCAAGCTCATACCTGATTCGACAAATGATTTGTTCATCGCACGTCGCACCTCCGGATTACTATCGTTGTAAATCTTTTCGAAGAGACTATTCAACTGCTTGGCTTCATCCTATCAACATGAATTTCACAATGACTCATTAGATGATTCAGAATGTTCAGTTCGTTGTTTACCGAAAAAACTCAATTTCAAAATGCCCACCTTTTCGATTTCTTCTTTTTCGTAAGCATCCTTTACGACACGATCCCAGTTCTTGTCGTTCTTGTTGGGTAATGATATTGCTGGCTCTTGTTGCGGAAGACTGGTGAACGATGCAGTGGCCGTGACGGCGGCACCTTCTTTTTTCGTAAGGCTTGACCATCGTTCGCCAACTAATTTTTGTAGGATAATTTCAATTTTGACCGTCATAATTTTGAACGTTGATTTTGTGGTGTCAATTTCATGTGCTAAATCTAATTCCAATTCAATATCATCGCCGCGAATCAAAACATGGTTCGGTTGAATGTCAACCGAAATATTTCGATTGTTTGCATTTTTCACCAGCACATCAATGACGACTCTTTGTTCCGACTGATACCAATCGTGACGCACCGATGACATTTTCTCTGTTTTTTTTTTGTGCAAAATAAATTCAGTCACACACACAGTCCGAATTAGTTTTTGGAATTACTTACAGTGATTTTTTCTGATGGTGGTTCGGGTCGTTTTGTTATTGCTGTTTGTTGCTCACACAATCAGAAATCCTTTGTATCACACTTTAGTTGTGG